TTAAATTAATTTTAAATAATTTAATAATTTAATAAAATAATAATAATTAATAATAAATATAATAATAATAATAATAATATTCCTACAACAGCCAGCAGAGTGTCTTGTTGTGTTTCTAACTCATCTTGTTGTGTTTCTAATAATAATAATAATAATAATTATTATTATTATTATTAGAAACACAACAAGATGAGTTAGAAACATCTAATTATTATTTATTTATTCATTGCCTGACTCTCCTCATGGCTTGAGGTGGGTTACAGCATTACTAAAACATTATTTATTTATTATTAATAATAATAATAATAATAATATTCTTACAACAGCCAGCAGAGTGTCTGCTGTGGACTCATCTTGTTGTGTTTCTAATAATAATAATAATAATAATAATAATAATGATAATAATAATGCATTTATTTATTTATTTATTGCCTGGCTCTCCTCATGGCTTGAGGTGGGTTACAGCATTACTAAAATATTATTTATTTATTTATTTATTTATTTATTTATTTATTTATAATATTAATAATAATATTCTTATATCCCGCCACCATCTCCCCAAAGGGACGCGTGGCGGCTTACATAGCGACCAAGCCCAGCATAAACAAGGATTACGAAGTAACATACTTAAGACATATAACACGTAACAGTAAAACAATAAAACCAAAGCATCTTTAAAAACCTCAGCCAACATCGTAACCAGTAGCTGGGAAAAGTGGGCACGTCCACAATTGATTGGGCAGGGCATGGGCTTGTGCAATGCAAAGCTGTAGGGCCAGACTGGAAGCAAAGTGCTGGGGAATCAAAACCATAAGTTAGGGATTGGGCAGTATATTATTTATATTCCGCACTACATTATTTATATTCCACCCTTCTCACCCTGAACGGGACTCAGGGCAGATCACAATGCACATATACATGGCAAACATTTTTGCTATTTTTAGACATACTGATAGACAGACAGATAGAGGTATTTTTGGCATTTTCCAGCTTCGGCGACTGGAGGTTATGCTGGATTCCAGCCACAAGGGGTGCTGTCGCTTAATCCACTATGACGGCAAGGCATTTTGATCGTAGTATTTCCTAGATCCCCCGGTGGTGCAGTCGGTTAAAGCACTGAGCTGCTGAGCTTGTTGATCAAAAGGTCATAGGTTCGATTCCGGAGAGCAGCGTGAGCTTCCACTGTCAGCCCTAGCTTCTGCCAACCTAGCAGTTCAAAAACATGCAAATGTGAGTAGATCAATAGGTACCGCTCCGGCAGGAAGGTAACGGCGCTCCATGTAGTCATGCCAACCACATGACCTTGGTGGTGTCTACAGACAACGCCGGCTCTTCGGCTTAGAAATGGAGATGAGCACCACACCCCAGAGTCAGACATGACTGGACTTAACGTCAGGGGACTACCTTTACCTTTACTATTTCCTCTTTGCTCTTTGATTGCTGGTATTTTTAAAATACCTCCTTACTTTAACATAACTTATCTACTCACAGCTCAGCTGTTTTCGAACTGCTTAGGTGGACAGTAAGCTAGGCTTAACAGTCAGGTGCTCAATCGAACTCGGGTTTCGAACTTGCCACCTCCTGGTCGGCAGTGATCTATTGTTGCTGGCGATTAACCAGCTGTGCTGCGGCCCGGCCCCTTAACAATTACTATTATTATTATCGTCATCATCTATATAAATAAAAATGTAAAATACCTCCCCACTTTAAGCGGCACCTAACTTCTCTACTCACAGATCAGCTGTTTTTGAACTGCTTAGGTGGACAGTAAGCTAGGCTTAACAGTCGGATGCTCGGTCCAACTTGGGCTTCGAACGACACCTTCCAGTTGGCAGTGATCTATTGCTGCTGGAGATTAACCAGCTGGGCTACAGCTGGCCCATTAACAATTATTACTATTATTATTATCATCATCATCATCTATATAAATAAAAATGTAAAATACCTCCCCACTTTAAGCGGCACCTAATTTCTCTACTCACAATTCAGCTGTTTTTGAACTGTTTAGGTGGACAGAAAGCTAGGCTTAACAGTCAGGTGCTCAATCAAGCCAGTGATCTATTGCTGCTGGCGATTAACCAGCTGTGCTACAGCCCGGCCCATTATCTATTATTATTATTATTATTATTATTATTATTATTATTATTTATATAAATAAAAATGTAATGTTTGTTTGTGGGATTAACATAACTCAAAAACCACTGGATGAATTGACACCAAATTTGGACACAAGACACCTATCAGGGCAACAAGTGACCATCACTCATAAAAACCCTGAAAAACACAGCAGAAGAGACTTAAAAAGCAAAAACAAAAACCCCAAAAATACATTACAACACATGCACAAAACCACATATATACACAAACTCACATATATACACACACATATATTCATATAAACACACAAAATACATATACAGAAAGGAGGGAGGGAGGAGCGAAGGAAGGAAGGAAAGAAGGGTAGAGAAGGAAAGAAGGAGGGAAAGAAGGAGGGAAGGAG